AAAAGCTGAGACACTTGTGCTTGGCAGCAGGCAAGGTGTTGACACCTTCCAGACTGGTGTCAACACTAAATTTCAGCAAGCAAACCCCTGATTCTGCAATAGACAAGGGTCGACACCTTCCAGATTGGTGTCGACTCCAAAGGCCAATAAGAAAAGGCAAGTGTTGACACCACCATGGCTGGTGTCGACCCTAAATTTCAGTAACTATTCCAAGAACATAGAAGCAATATGGTGTTGATCCTTCCAACACTAGTGTCGACCCTTGGAGCTTAACGAAACAAAGGCAAAAGGGCAGTGTTGACCCCAACAAGGGCAGTGTTGACCCCCGAAGCCAAAACCAAATATGAAGAGAAAAGAACGATCGTCACGAATATGGTTTCCCGGATTCAAAAGCAATAAATGGATCGGGTCTAAGTCCGAATCGCTATAGTAGGACTATTTATATTTATATTCTGTAATTTTTCTTCTTCACCTTCTTCCTTTACTGAATTCACAATACTACTTTTTTTCATATATATACAAGGGATGCCTTGGGGGTGGAGGCATTGCTGAGAGAGCAAAGAAGTGTTTGATATGTTAATAATAGGCATGTGTTTGAAACTTAGTTTAAACATGGATTGGTTAATTTTCCTTAGGAGTCACTAATAGAAACAAAAATGGTGGTGTTGAATATAGCCTCTAAAGAAACTACAATAATATATAAGAATCCTGACGTTCATCTTCCATTCTTTACTTTCAGAATTTGGTTTTAGTACAGCAGCACTACTGTGTGACTGCCACAATGAATTATTTACTGCTCTCATTTGGTTTTAACTCTGTTCTATGGGTTAGGAAAGGAAGTCACTTGTTGCACATTATTAATATAAGACCTTGTTCTAAACAATATTTCATTATAACACAATAATTAACTATGTTGTGTGTACAACAGCACTACTGTGTGTTGTACAATGAATTATTTACTCCTCTCATTTGGTTTTAACTCTGCTGTTGACTAGCCTGTAAAGAAATACAGTGTTTTTTAATTTTTTTTAAATTTATTATTTAGTCTATTTTGCTTTTATTTAATCTATTTTGAGTTCAAATGAGGCCATGATAAAAGTGTTTAAATTTAAATCATACCCTTCATTTTCAATTCAAATTTGATCGATCCACTTAATTTTCTCAAATTTTTCCAATGTGCCATTTTTATTGTATTCTTTGCATGTGTGATCCTTTGATTACCTCTATTGTTTCTTAAACCTTTCAAACTCCAGGTGGCATTTATTTAGTTGGCTCTAACTTTGGCTCCATTAATTATTATTTAGTTTAGATTTATGAGCCATTGTATCTAGTACTTTGTCTACAGTTAGTTGCTATTAAGATTCTCTATGACCTGTTCAATTACCTGAATGCATCACCAAAATGACAGTAAACCTGTTCAATCTCCACATACAAAGGCTATAGGGGTATTGAACAAGTTCTAAAAAAGTTTCCCAAGCACTGCCGTAGACCAGCTAAATCTCATATATACTTAGCCAAAAGAGATAGAATAAAAAATAAAATAAAATAAAAAAAGAAATAGTCCTAAGCACAACCCGCAATGGATTAGGTATAGGTCTTGAATACAACAACACCTCACCAATAAAGCACCAGTAGGAGCACTGCTATTGTTGCTGGCAGCATGAACCAAAATAAAAAGCAAGTTCCAAACATAAGCCATGCCTTGTTAAGGCACAAATTGCAGCCTTGTCCAAATTTGCTTACTTTTCAACTTTAGCACCACTACATTTAACATGACCTGAAGGTCCAAACACATAAAAGACAACCCAATGAATAAGAATATGTAGCTGGAATACCTGCAACAAATCTCAACTTCTATTGCTTACATTGTATTATTTTGTTTTTGGGTGTCAAGTGTTCTAGATTATTTAAACATTAGTTTTTATTTTTCTTTCTCTTATTGAATTCCTCATATATATATATATATATATAACAATAACACATGTATATGAAC